CCATCCATTCCTTGCACATTTCAAGTTTCACACGGTAGCAACGGCGGCAGCGCCTGTCGCAACAATAATTGTGGGCATTTTAAGTGGTGACTTGAAACGTGTTCATTAACAGAACCAATAATTACAGTATATTTCAAGGATCTACAACGTCAACCAATAACGACCGGAACGGCTCCGGAGACCAAAATTAATTTCCCCAACAAACTTCATACCTCCAACTTCATCTTTACTTATTTCTCGTAAAGCTAATTGCCGTGACTAACAAACTAGCTGTTCTTTTCAAAAAAGTAAAACGATGCCTTGCTATTCATTAATTTATACATACCTGTATTAACAACATTTTGTCTTTGTCTACTTAAATAAATCTAAGTCTCATAATAGCCAATAACTCAGAATCGCGACATATTTCTTCTGTGCTTATTCAGCGACAGCGTTGGAGATCATATATAGACAACGTAGTGCTCCTGAAGATGCCCTTTATAATAATTAAATATAAAATATTAAAGCCTGGAACATTCATGCCGTCATCATGATCCAACATGGGAATTTCACCACTAAACGTATCTAGAATGCGGAAATCCAGTTTCTTCAAGAACTTATTGTTCTGTTCTACTTAAACACTAAAGGTGAATTAAGAACCGAACTTAAGCAGATGTAATTATCAAAATCATAAAAAGTCTAATAAATACAAACTAAAGCTTTTAAAGAATGTCACGCTTTGTTCAAAAATTTTTGAGAGTTCATCTAGTTTTGGACATTTTTTATTATTTGCACTCCCTTGGAATTTGTCCAAATGATCTAAGGAAACCACGGAAAAACTTGGACCAGAGTTGGTGGGCCAAAAATGGTGCGGCATCCTGCCTAATTTTAACCTACAGTGTAAATCAGTGATTCCGGGTAAGTAAGTAAGTTAAGTACCCCCACGGGGGTAAATCAATTATTCTGTGGGGGTAACAAAGAACCTAATAATTAAGACCTAAAATACGTAGCTAGACAGTAAAAATGTAAAATTATAGATGTGTCGATGCTTATACAACTGTATACACAATTGGTAAATATTGAACCAAACAAGATTATATTTGATTTGATCTGTGGTTTGGTATTTATCTGCATCAATAAACTCACTGAAGCAATATTTTCCGGATATGGATAATCGTCAGTCCAGTTCTTGGATATTAAGACCATTCACTACGGATGATAACNGCGGGGCAAAAGAGCGTAGTGCTGGTCAACTAATTCTTACAGTACAAGTGGGTAACTTATATAGGGAAATCGTATTTGTAGGTTGAGAACCACTGGTCTTTGGGAACGTCCTTAAGAACTATATTTCGAAACAAGTTGAAAGTAGAAGTTCAAATTTAAATAACGAAAACGAAAAGAGTGGGTGTCTTCAATTCCTGTAATATTAAACTTTCATTTGATAGCTACAATAAACTTCTATCAACAATTTAATACACGTTATCATTAATATATGATTTGCGTGCCTATCCATACATGGTATGCAGGGTGAGAAACGTACCACGAAACGTTGCGGGAGGTGATAGGGCACTATATAACAAGAAAATTAAGTAAATGTATGGTAGTCCGAAAGTGCACTGTCCAGAAAAACGCATTTGAAAGTACAAAAAAAGGCCAATCCGGCCCTGATAGGATCACGCAGGGAAATACAAAATTACGACGTCGCATTCAATTCGTGTTGTACTTCATTTGCATTTTTGTACTAATGATTGTTTGTTAATTGTACGCATACATATAGTCAAAGTCATTAAAAGTAGATCAATGTGTTAGTGTCATAGGTCAGTGCAAAACGTTATTGCATTCACCAACGCGTGAGTTTCCTAGGTTCTGGAGTGAATATACTGGTCCTGTACTCTAATAGTTGGCGCGTAGTCCTGATCTAAATCCGCTTGGCTGCAAATGACGTGTATTAGCATAGTAGTAAGCTGTTGATATTTACTTTCTTAATCGTTTCACAACAGTCACTGTTTACATTTTCCATCGATTTAGCTGCTTAGTTATTATTTCTCTATACGCTGCCAATTCACGTCCAGGGTCGTCTTAAAATTGCAACGTCGTCTGGTTTTTTCTCAAATTCCTTTATCCCTTAACCACGCGACGTTAATCACTATGCGATTATCTATTGCATCTAGTTAATAGCCTCCAAAACTTGTATTAGCTGCAGTATCGATTTAATTAGTCATTGATTTAGTAGGCCTACTCTAGCACATGAAATAGTTTAGTAACAACAAATACCCTCTAGATGGCAGTACATTACCACTATTTGGATATTATAGAAACAAGTTATTGTTCCTTTGAAGAACGAATACTGAAAATGTATCTAACCTCATATTTAACTTTGGAATACGATTTTTTATATAACATAACCGCAATTATTCAGAAGGGCCAAGTATCAGTTTTGTAAAATGTTAATATTGTCAAACCATAAATAAGTAACATCTTTATCATAGCATTATTGAGTAACAGAAAATTGCACCACAGATACTACGATCGTTAAAAAAAAAAGGTTTGGATGTTTCATTCACACCAGTTAGTAATGCTGGTGAGCGCGCAGTCCCTCCGGACTACGCCGGAAGGTAAGGCGGAAGGCCCTCTCCAGTCTCTTTTCAGGAATAGTAGGAATTAAAACTATTTACTTAATCTAGACACTACTGAGTGCCTACTTCGAAATACAATTATTAGCAGACTTAACTTCGCAAAAAGTGGATATGTTACGAGTGTCGGCTACTACTTTTAGAAGTAGGTACTCAGTAGTGCGAGTACCTGTCTCATTCATGCATACAAAAATGTGAGTTGCTACTGAAGGAGTTGCTGATGTGAAATTTCTGCTAGTATTTTTATGTATTTAGACGTACCACCCAATACCTTTTACTGCACATTTATACAAGTATCTACTTTGTAGAGTATGAACCTAGAGCACGATTATTTACGATTTTCGGCACGTCAGTTCTGTATTTATTTATTCGTAACATTTCTTTTTTAATAGTGGCTCTGCTGTTTTCGTTTGATCTAATCGATTAAAATCGGAAAACAGCCGCACCTTCTTGCATTTCCGTATCAATCTAATTACTCAGTCTTACATTTCAATTGGTCCCAAGATAAATACATGCGTAAGAGACGTTTTAATTGATTCAAGGTGTGGTAATGGTTACTTGCGTTCGATACATTGAAATTCGATACCTACTACAAATGTCACCGTTTATTTGGATCTTGGACTACGTGAATAAAAAAGGAATAAAACACGAAAAGCATAAATATCCACCTCGATTTCCGCTTGCAGTAGTATCGTAAGTATTACCTACAATCATAACTAGGAAACAGGTCTTGGAATATTTAACTATCAAGGTAGGTGCTCTTATTATATTTAACAGAAAAATCAGCGTATCCAAAGTATAAAAGAATTTAGAAGAGGAACAGTTACATGAAGACAGAACAACGTTAAGAAGATTGATTATCATCATCGTCATAAGGTCGTCAGTCCTAAGACTGGTTGGACACGCACCTCCACTCTTTCCTGTCCTGAGCTAAACTTACCTTAACTATTTGCGAACAGTAATCTAACCCAGGTCTACCTCTACCCCTACTAACTCCTGCTTCTGCTTCTAATATGTCTCTGACTAGGCCTTCATGCCTGAGAAGGTGTCTTACCATCCTATCTCGCCTATTTTTCATTGACCTCCATAAAGTCCTCTGTTCTCCTATTCATTCTAATACCTCCTCATTTCTAACCTTCTCTATCCACGATATCCTCATCATTCGCCGGTAATCCCTCCCTCTTTTCCCATATCCTTAACTATTTCTGAACAGTAACCTAATCTAAGTCTACTTCCATCCTTCTTAACTCCTGTTTCTGCATCTAATATGTCTTTGACTAGACCTTCATGCCTAAGAAGATGTCCCATAAAACTATCTCGCCTATTTCTTATTGACTTTCGTAGAGTCCTCTGTTCTCATATTCCTTCTAATAGCTTTTATTTCTAACCTTCTCTATCCACGGTATCCTCATCTTTCGCATGACATCATATTTCGAAAGCTTCTAACGTTTTCTTTTCCGCTTCACCCAACGTTCATGTTTCACACCTGTACAGCGCAGCGCTCCAGACATAAACCTTCAACAATCTTTTCTGAATTTCTAAATTAACCGTTAAAGACAACTCGACCCTCCGCTTTCTTTTAATATGTCTACTGCTCCTGTCATCCTGAGTTATCCGACCTTCTAGATCCCGAAAATTAGTCACTTCTTTAAGATTAATATGTAACTTTTAATAGATTGAAACGGGACTGAAGCTATAAAGACCATTGCATAGCATTCGAGAGGATACTGATTCCAATCCGGGTACGCCTCCCCTGGTGGATCTATTCCTGTGATTTCCTTGGATTACTTAGGCAAATGCCAGGGCAGTACTATTCCATCTTTCATTTCGTCTGTATCATCTTTCTTACCACTAGCTACCACCCACTCATCCCCACAATTTCTAAAAGGAGGTTGAAGAGGGTCTTCCGTCATACTCTCCGGAGTACCCCGAAGGGGTTGCTCGCCCAGCAACGAATAACTGCAGGGAATGAAACACCCAAAAGTTTTTTTTGCTACAACCATTCGTTGTACGTAAAAAGTTTAGATCATTTTTCCGGGTTTCGATCCCGACACAATAAAATCGTACACGTAATTTTGAAGAAAGTCTTACACAACACAACTTACGACAAACCACGATAAAATTATAAAAAATAGAAATTGTGATCTACGTGTTATTTAAATTACGAAAATTCAATAATCAAACGCAAGTATTTAAAATTACAATTAAGGGCTCATTTTGTGAGAATTTTGAGGTAACAAAATTTTGATGAGTCAGAGAAGAAAAGAACCTTCGCTCCAAATAAAACACCCTACGTTATATACTAATTGTATTTCATTTTTAAGTTTAAATTTATAACCTTTATATTTTTAACGTACAGTAAGAAAAATAAAATGTGCGCCTACTTACCAATTGTATAATTTATCTTCTAAACGCAACGATTAGTTGTTGCTTATGTATAACGTACACCAAGATTAGCTTCAGTAAAATATTTTCTTTTCGTTGTAGACTTTTAAATCTGTAACAAAAAAAAAATTTTGGAGTGAATTATAATTTCAATTATAACATATGGTTTAATAAAAATTGCCCCTCCCTCTCCCTTCGTCTTGCTATGTCACACTTTCAGCGAGCGCCCAACAAATATTACGTCAGAAAAGTTAGCTCCCCCCCTATAAATTCCATCCATCTAAATAGTACATTACGTATCGAGGGAAGAAACAGGGTTATTTCAGACTGGCTCGGGCGGCAAACATGCAGTCTGAGACAACCCTGTTTCTTCCCGAGGTACGTATACTATTTTTTGTCATGTTTGTGCGGAAAGCTCGTTATTAAATTGATAGTTGGCGAAATAAGAGTAAATGATTTAGAGGTTAGAAAGACATTGTCATTGAACAACTGATTTCTGCGCATGCCCATAAACTTCAGCGCATGCGCTCAAAAGACTAATTTCATTGCCTCCCGACTAAAACACGGCT